CATTGCTGTGAGCTAGGCTGACACCACAGCACTCTAGCCCAGGCAAAAAGAGTGAGACTCTGTCTCAAAAAAAAAAAGACAACTCTGCCTCCTGACTCACCACTGAACGGTGGATTCACCAGCTCACTCTGCCCGGCACTGAAGCTAACAACAGGGAACAAGTTAGTTAGAATCTTGTCCCTCGCCTAGTGTATACTCTAGATACTAACAAGTGGCTATGTAATTACAACGGTGTGTGATGGTCACATTACTGTGCCAAGTGGTTTTACTTTAAATCGATTGTCACAAATCTCGAGAGGGTCACACTCTTGTGACACCATGACTATTCCCTGGGACATTCGCTTTCCCACTCTCAGAACAACCACTTATGCCTTCTCTGCCCCTCCTTCCGCCCCCACATCTCACCTCATCCTTCACGAATAATAAAAAGCTACCGGAAGAGGGCTTTTAGAAGAGAGCTTTTTTAAATAGAGCTTCTCCCTTTGTTTCCAGGACATCAGCCACTCCTGATTTTCCTTTTCTTGCTGGCCACATTCGTGCTTCTTGGCTGCCTTAGGCCCCTCTAAATATTAGAGTTTGCAGGGACTCAGTCCTGGGACTATTTCTCTTTCTTAATTGCATCCTTTCCCCAAGTGACCTCCTCCTTTTTTGTATCTTTAAACATTATCTCCTTGCTGACGTCCTCCAAACGTCAATCTCCAATCTACATCTTTCCTCTAAGATCCAGACCTCTGTATCCAACTGCCAGCCTGACATCCCCACTTTGGTGTCTCCTGGATATGTCCAACTGAAGTAATTTCAATAAAGGGCACCACCATCCGGCTAGAAACCGTGAGTTCTTCTTCATTCTTCTGCTTCCTCATATGCTCAGGTCAAGCACACTTGCTCAACCACAGTCCTACTGCTACCTCCACATGTATTCCTTAATTTGTACAGAATCCACAGAAATTTTTTTTTATTTTTTTTAATTTTTTTGAGACAGAGTCTCACTGTGTTGCCTGGGCTAGAGTGCCGTGGCGTCAGCCTAGCTCACAGCAACGTCAAACTCCTGGGCTCAAGCGATCCTCCTGCCTCAGCCTCCCAAGTAGCTGGGACTACAGGCATGAGCCACCATGCCCGGCTAATTTTTTCAATATGAGTAGAGACGGGGTCTTGCTCTTGCTCAGGCTGGTTTCGAACTCCTGAGCTCAAACAATCCGCCCGCCTCGGCCTCCCAGAGAGCTGGGATTACAGGCGTGAGCCACCGCGCCCGGCCCAGAATCCACAGAAATTTTTAAAAAAATGTAAACAGATTATGTCAGACCTTAGCCTCCACTGAAAATTCAGACAGCTAAATAAGTTAATGAATTAAATAAGTTAAAATAAGTTGCATTTTTCCTTCTGTAGTTTGAATAAAATCCAGCCCCTTTACCATGACTGGGGCCACGCACGTTCTCGTCTCTTCTGTACAGGCCCATCATGTGCCACTATGCTCAGGTCACACTGACCTTCTAGCTCCCAGAATGCCTCAAGCTCTTCTCTGTTTGGGCTATTTGTACGTGCTGTTCCCGAGCCCAGACTCAGCTTGGTGCACACTTCTCAGCTTTCAGGTCTCGGCTTCCATTATAGGTTATCAGAAGGAACCTCCATAAATGTTCTATCTATTGAACCCCCTACTCCCCCTGTTACCCTCGCTTACACCTCTGCTTATTAACTTCAAAACGTTAGTCACACTCTGTAATTATTTTACGTGTTTCCTTCTTTATTGTCTGTCTCCCACCACAATACAAATACCAAGAGAGTGGTGACCCTGTTTGTCCGCACCCTTCTTTCCTCGCTGCCTCTCAGTGTCTGGCACGTAAAAGACCCTCCAGTGCTGTTGTGGAAATTCCAAAAATCATGCTGCTTGCATTCACTACAAATTCATGGAATCTAATCTTTTTTAGCTACTTTTTATTCCAGGCTTTAATACTTAAATAGTTTTGTTGCAGAAACACATTGAAAAACAGTAAATGAAAGAGGTAAAGGATCATTGGGACATGTGATATCTTAGAACTAACCATTTTTTTTCCCCAGCCATAGGTGCCTAACTCATCATTAACCTGGCCATTGGTTCAGAACCCCTTTATTTTTAACTCTCAGAATGGGCATGTTGCTGAAGGAAATTTAACAACTTTCTGCTAAGTTGCTGAGTTTATTGTTTCCTTAATAGCATAAGCTTTTAAAAAAATTCCTTCCCTATATAGCTCACTATATTACAAAATAAAAATATTAATAAAAAAGTTTGCACCCCTGCCCTCATAAAATTTAAAATATAGTTAAATTTAGTAACATACCAAGAAGGATAAAGAATTTGGTTCAAACTCAATATTTGAGAAGGGAGGAGGAAAGGAGTGTGTAAGTTGGGTAAAGGCAAACCAAAGGAAGGGCGTGGAGTTGTTCTGTGCTACTGCTGGGTTCCAGAAACAGCCCAGTCCTTGACATTTAATCCTCACAATAACCCTATGGCACAGATACTACTATTATCCACATTATAGAGGTGGAGTCTACGGCCATACCACCCTGAACACACCGGATCTCATCTGATCTTGGGAGCTAAACAGGGTCAGGCCTGGTGAGTACTTGGATGGGAGAGAGGTGGAAACTAAGGCTCAGAAAGGTTAAGTAACTTGTCCAAGATCTCACAGCTAGAAATGGACAGAGTTGAGATTCAACTCCAGGCCATCTGGCTCTCATGCCTAGCTGCTTTCTCTGTGGTCTACTGAGTATTTTGGTAGAAGTTTGAAAACATCGTCATGTTTCTCAAGGAAATTTTTCTTCAAGAGGCTATGGTTAATTCTTTTTTTTTTGACTGTTGCCCGGGCTAGAGTGCTGTGACGTCAGCCTAGCTCACAGCAACCTCAAACTCCTGGGCTCAAGCAATCCTGCCTCGGCCTCTCCAGTAACTGGGACTACAGGCATGTGCTACCATGCCCGGCTAATTTTTTTTCCTATATTTTTAGTTGTCTAGCTAATTTCTTTCTATTTTTAGTAGAGACGGGATCTCGCTCTTGCTCAGGCTGGTCTTGAACCCCTGAGCTCACATGATCCTCCCGCCTCAGCTTCCCAGACTGCTAGTATTACAGGCATGAGCCACCATGCCGGCCTAATTCTTAAGTCTTTAATTCAGATGCAAGAATTTTTTTTCTAATTTTTTTCATATCATTATAAGGCAGAAGGTGGCATTTAGATTGAATTCTAAGCAGTACTGAAGATGTCTCTCAGAATTTTGTTTTTGAACTCAGCTAAAAGATTGAATTTATAAAAAAGCATTGCCTATAGTTTATAAACTAGCTAATACCCAAGATCAAACTATTGAATTGCTCATCATTATGCACTGAACTTAGATATTATACAGGGTAGTTGGTATTTCTTTTTATAATGATTTATTAATTTAACCCATAAAAGCCCTATTAAAGGAGGTCAGGTATTAAAAATCCAAAATTATCTCAAAAACAATGGCGTAAAGCTCAACTTATTAAAGGATTAATAAAGACCATTTAATGTTCCGAGATCAGACAGTAACAGTAGTCATCAGCTAAATAAACCATTTAACTGACTACCAACGTGTTAGCCCAGGCTTAATTTATAACAGCTGATAGACTTTTGCTAAATCATTAATTTTATTATTTTATACAAATACAAAACACATATATACATTTTCACCAACAAACACACATATCCCCAAATTAGCCTTTTTCTCATTTCAGCTTTTTTCCTTTCTATTTAGTTACCAGAAAAAAAAAAAAATGAGAATCCGTGGGACGATTTAGGGAAATGGGATTTTTCCCAAGGAATCACTTTCTTACAGGATAATGGGAGGGACATAGACCTCACCTGAGAACAACTTGGGCTAGAACTCAAGTTTCTTTCTTTCCAATCTCTACCCCTCAGCAGTCTCTTTAGTACATGCTTGTTTCTGGGCTCTGGGGCTCAAAGATATCAGCCTTATTTACCTAACATTAAATTAAAATGTAATGAAAAGGTTACTTTAAGACTACAGTACCCCTGAAAGTTTATTTGGCATCGACTATTCGAGATGTATTTACCTAAGATTCCTCTTATCTGAATTGCTGGGTGCTGCTAGGTGACTCCTAGTCATCCGTTGCGAGCACTGCACAGCATGAAGGGCGGCAGGAAATAGTGAACGAGAGGGACTGGAGGAGCTGCAGCTGCCGCTGCGTGCTGAGCACCTCGCACATGCCGAAGCCGGAGCAGCTGTGAGCAGGACCCGTTAACATCCGTCTGTCATTTCATAGATCTGTGTTTTCTTTACGGCCCTTACTGACCATGAGAAATAAAAATGCATTTGAACACCCTCATCATATTACATATTTCCTATAAAATTGTTGGGTTGCAAGGAACTTTTGTTCCTATTACCACTTTTCTGGTGTTGAAACGAACTCTACTGTTTATTCTCTATGACATTGTCATTCTTTCCAAGTGAGTAATAAATATCTGGCTGGTTAGAGGCAAAGATTTATTGGGCTACACTTACAAGTCAGCAAGCCTCACGGGGACTTGGGTGTAGGTTCTCCTCTTGCCCTGTTTCTATTTAGTATTATGAAGTTCCCCTACTTTCCCTCTCCCGGCCTGTTACTGCGACTGGCGCCAGGCCTTGGAGCTGGCCAGAGGTTGAGGTGCAGCATGTGCTCTGCAGGCCCGTCTCTCCCCTCAGGCAGGCCCACCCCCCACATTGCCCACGCTCAAGGTGCACTTTGCAATTCAGCTTGCCAAAGATACACACTCGCAGTTATTGGACAAGTAAGTGCTTTGCCAATTTATAAGACTGATATTTTATTCCAACTTATTCTTTCCATCCGTTAAAACCCAGAGGGGAAAAAGGTTAAGTCTTGCCTCCAACACCCATCGCTGAACTATCCACATGGGGCTGTTTAAATTTCACTATAATTAAAATAAAATTTAGAATTCAGTCCCTTGGTCACACTAGCCACATTTCAAGTGTTTAATACCCACATGTAGCTAGTGGCTACCACATTGGACAACACAGATACAGAACATTTCCATCATTGAAGAAAGTCCTACTGAACAGCAAGCACTGCTCAAATGGATTTTATATACTACTCTTCAAAGCACTTTCACCTGTATTAGCTGATTTGATTCTAACAACTCTACAAGGCAGACAAAGCAAGCATTATTGTTTTACAAATATTTTCCAGGTTCTCCAGATGACAAGACCAGTTCTGAGGTTAAATGAATTGTTCAAGGTCACACAGCAAATTAGGAACTAAAACCTTGGTCTAAGTGCCACATTGCTTCTGCCGACCTCTGTACAATAATTAAAATGAATATTTTTATGTGCAGATACCTATATTCAATCCCTGAGGCTTTATAGACATATAAAGCCAAAGGAAGTGACTCATGTTTCTTTAATTTCCTAATTTGTGCTCTTCAGCTGTTAGTGTACGACATTACATTCTAGAGACTTCTTCTGTGTGTCCTTTCAGCAATACAGACTAAGGAGAGGTCGTGGCAGTGACAATACATTCTAAAAGGCTAGGAGAAATTTAACTTTCATGACATTAGCGATCTACAGAAGAGTATTTTGTTCATAGGCTGCCTAGTAGCCACTGGATCCCTATAATTGAGAAAGGGTTTGGGGTTTTTTTTGTGTTTCAGAATTCATGACTTCTGATAACATAATCATTGGCCAATTAAAAGTATAAATTTGATAATGTTCACACACACTGAAGACTTCAATAGGCTAGTTTAAAATTCCTTTCCATTTTTGTCTTCCACACCTAATTGTACTATTGCATTACTTTACTAGGCAAAGTATAGATGTTCTTTTTTTTTTTTTTTTTTTTTTTAATCTTTTTTATTTTTAACTGTGATAAAATACAGTTACCATAAAATTTTCCATGTTAATCATTTTCAACTATATAGTTCAGTAGTGCTAAGTAAATTGAAATACAGATGTTAAAACAAAATACTAAGGAGATTGCTTTCATTTTATAATAAGGCTTAGGCTGCTAATCTACTATCGCTGGCATAGTATTCACATGTAGGAATTTCAGATTCAAAATTCAGTCAATACACATATTTAAAATATATTAACCTTTTTCTTTTATATTTAGGTGTTTTTATTCATGGATTATTTCTGGATGGAGCTTCCTGGAATAGAAAGATAAAGAAACTTGCAGAATCGCATCCCAAAATTCTTTATGATACAGTACCTGTGGTTAGTAAATTCTAATGATATATACATGGGGGACCATTTTATATATTTTTTATATAAAATATTTTATGTATTATATATAAAATAGCCCCCGTGTGTGTGCATATATGTGTACACACATATACAGTCAATTCTTGTTATTCATGGGTAAATATGGTCTATAAAGTTGCTGCTGACATGGGATTAGTGAATATTGAACCATTGCTCCTGGGGGAAACACAAGGTTGAGTTTCTTTGGTCACATTTTCGTTAGCCGATTGATACATGACCTTGTTTTATTCTGTTTAAAGACATCTTATTTAATACGTGTTGTTGATTCATTAACATTAACTAATGGTCAAAATACCATGAGCTTCGTTGAGGCATGAGTTAGTATTTTTCTCCACGAGGCGTATCATCAGCCTTTTTGCATTTAGGACCACCAGACAGCACTGCTGCATTACACTTGGGAGCCATTTTAAATAGTGAAATCACCAAACAAAAAGCACGAAAATGTGAAAACTTGGCACTAAATAGAACAGGAAAAAGGACACTTGTTTATGGTTCTGAGAGCTGAAACAAGAAAGCAGAGCCTCACCTCGTTCAACCTTAGCTGGGAACATATGGGTCAGATGACTCAAATCTGTGATGCTCTGTCGGTGTTTGCCAAGGACCATGAAAGTGCTGCCAGCGTTGATTTTAGGATTACAAATATAGTTTGGTGAGTAGACAAATTTGCAAATATGGACTCCATCAATAGTGAGTATCAACTGTATATACATATACACACGTATGTGATTATATGTTTTTTCTTACATATACTTTGACCTAAACATCTGAAGTTTGCAGATTAAAAGATTACAGTATGACAACCATCTGTGAAGAAAGCTATGTTTTCTAGACACCTATCTTCAGCACGGGCAGATTAATAACATATAATTGTTTCCCTCTGTAACCGCATCATGACAAAACAGCTAGAGATATTCTTGCACAATGGTAGGTCTGGATGGTGTGATAAAATACAGGCTGTGGGATTTAAATGAATTGTTTGTGGGATTTGGGGAGCAGCTCAAGGACAGGTTAAAAAGTTCTTCAGAGCAGCTGCCACAGGCACAGTGAGGGGCCAGCTGACAGCAGCTGGGAGAAACCTGTCGTATACACTAAGATACTGGGGGCAGAAAATGCTTAAGATATGAGACCCAAACTGAGTCACAAGGGCAAATGAATGCAATTAGAAAAATCCACTCGGGTTGAAATGAAATACACCCGAGTGTCGAGTTTTATATTGTAGCTAATACCTGTAAAAGGCCTTATGGATTCCCTTATGACAATCTGGATTCCACAGTTATGTGGGAGAAAGAGAGAAAACTGCATCCTCATAAGCTCATTAATACGATTTGTGTTTTGACCTGAGGAACCTAAAAGAGAGCTCTGAACAACGGGGCTGTCACCTCAAGGATTGCTATTACCACTACTAGAGAAATGAATTTAATTAAATTCTAAAACATCTTTCTGATCAGTTTGTTCTTACTCTTATGTGCAAAGATTTGCTTCAAAATCTTGGTGAGGTTCAACAATAATTTGTATGCTTAACATTCTAGGAATTCGGCTAATGACTCTAGAAAGAATGGGAGTATATTGTAGTTAGTTATAAAGGAATAAAACTATGTTTTAAAACAGATAGCATAATAAATGCAGTACCTCCTTTCAAAGTCTCCTAAAATGGGAAGGTGCTCTAGTTATATTGCTGCTGCTAAAAATCCCTTCAGAATTTTTTGAGACTGGCTTTCAATGAATGAAGCACATGATTTTGAGAATCAGTGGTGGTAATCCTCTCCTTTGAAAGTATATCTGATTTGTTGTTGCTGTAAGCACCAGAGTCATCTCCAGGTAAGTATGGTGGAGAGGTGATGAACAGTTGGATAAATGCTTTTTGATAGAGTAGGTGAAAACTATTTTTTCTCATTTTGTTTCTAGACTGGTTCTCAAGTTAGTTATGAGAGCTCTAAAAAATGTTTTGAGCAATCACAGCACTGCTGACAAAAATAAAATCTATTTGGGCAACAGAAATTCGCAGACATAACCTTACTCTGAGAATACCACAGTAGGCTCAAGTATATGTAAGTGTAACAGCCTTGACTTAAAGAGGTATTATGCATTTTCTTGCAGATGTGGCTAAAGCCCTGTAAGAAGGCAGATATACCAAAACGGCCAAGTTATGTTGCTCCGTTGTATAAGACAAGTGAGCGGAGAGGAACATTATCCACCACTGGCCACTCTACAAATTTTGTGATTGCCATGACTCTTCCCTCTGACCAACCCAAGGAGCACTGGATTGGACGGGGTGTAGCACTGTTATGTCAACTTAATTCATAACCAGAAGATGTCATTTCCTTGTTCCTATTTCTTGTTAGATGGTTGAGTATAAAGTATATTTTACTGTTTAAACAATTTTTTTGGTTTAAATAAATTTGACTAAAGTTATACTTAATTATGAATTTACTTATGCACAAATGCAGATAATTTTAAATGATCCATACTTCAATGTAAAAATATTCTGAAATAAAGACTAAAGAAAACACATTGGTATATTTGCTGTTTTTGAATAACTTTATTTGGGGAGAGTTCCATAGCATAGGAACATACATAAAATGACACACCACTGTTGACAATGAAAAAAAAAAAAACCCAGCATTTGATCATTTCCAGCTTTATAAATTTTTAAAAAAATGATTCAGTTACAACAAAAAAAAGTTTAGATATTTTAGCAAGTATTACCTTGCAGGACCATAATCACATTTAAGCCACTGACTTAATGGAAAAAATTCACACTGCATCTAGTTACTATAGTATTTCTAAGCATAATCACAGCTGATTGAAGGCAATGTGATGTACATCAAAATTCACATGGATGTCACACAGTGACAGCATTGTACAAGTAACATTAATGATCTCCAACAAACACATGTTAAATTAGACTGGTCAAGCTCAATGGAATGTTGGAGCCAAACAGAAATGTAGTGGAATTCAGATTGTCTAGTAAGACTTGAAACTATACATTAGAATGATGTGAAAACTAAATACTTACTGGTGGAACCCTAACAAAATACTAGCAGCAACAATTACAGCCCTCTTAAAAGATTTTAAAAATCTAGCAAATAAAGATACCATTTTTGAGAGAATATAAAACTTTATATACTTCAGCATAACCCACTTGCTTTAAATCAGGCATTTATTTTAAAACTGGGAGTATATTCCAGCTGTTGCTTTTATAAAAGTTTTTAAATGTAGTAGATTTAATGCTAGAATGCAGAATTCTCCTTGGGTATAAAAACCAAAAATGAACTATAAATACATCTTGGTTCAGAAATCAAGATATTTGAATTACTTAAAATGGGCAGTACTAAATAAAACATCAGCACCTTTTAGCTAGGTTGCTTGTAGGGCCAAGCAATGAGATGAGACTGTCCTAACGCAGTGCCCACTGCTGAAAATAATCTATGTATAAAACTGCTACTTATTACAAGGAGGCCACGGAGAAAGTCACAAATAATTTTTCAAATTCAAGCATAAATTAAAGAAATAAAAACACCTAAGCTCCCATGCTTAGAGCATAAAGAAGAAACACTGGCAATAATCTATTAATACCTGGATGCATATGCTGCTCTTGAAGTTCTGTTTTGTTTTAAAGTTCACAGAGTAAGAGGAAAGGAACAGAAGAGAGGAGGACTAAATGAAATATTTTAAATGGAATGGAAAAGAGTTTGGCTCTTATATATTTGAACAAGATTTTTAAAGCAGCTACACTGGTTGCCAAGCAGATTAAAACAAAGCGAGCTGCACATAGTTCAAATACAGTTTACCTGGCGTAAGTGAAGACCATATGGCACAAGATGTAAACAGAAAGTTACATGCATATGACTAGTACTACAAATTATGAAGTCAAAATTCAAGATAAACATGGCTTGCACTTCTCACAAATCATTCACAACTATGGTAGGAGAACAGGGCACCTAAAAAAGAGACTAATTCCTATCAGGCACCAACAGCATATCTTGGCACAAAACGATGAAGTGATTTCAGCTTAGTTACTTAAACGTATCTTCCAAGTCACTTGGTACCATGATAGCCACAGTATCAGTGGAGTTTATTCTAGTAACTGTTCTCATCGACACTTCATGTACAGATTATAGACATGGTAAACTTGGATTTTCTGCCTTACAACCTTACTGCCAGCCACAGGATGTGCTCTTGGTTCCAATGCCAAACTGGTAAAGCAATGTGAACATTCGGAACTTAAATTTCCCAATTAACTAGTTGGTACTGTTGAAGTAAGAAAATCAGCTATTTAGACCACGTTTGGGTTCATTTCTTTGATATTTTCTAGAGGGTTACAGTTTTAAAAAAAAGGCATATGACCACATGCTCTGACCCCTTGCCCTCCCCCCAAAAACCCTAAACAAAAGTTAAAAAAAAGAAAAAAAAGAAAAAAACCCCAAACACCAAGTATTATAATAATACAGAGAACCATTATGAATCTTTCATTAAACTGAAGCTCACACAAACATACAATCACAAATTTCAGTAGTTTAGGCTGCAAGTTTAAACACTATGCAAATATATACAAAAATAGTAACTCTAGATTCAAGAATAAGGGCTTTTCCCAATGCTAAATTCATATTCTAACGCAGCCTGAGCTTTCCTCTAGTTCCTCTAGTCTACTTTATGCAGTTTCAAAGTTGTGTCAAGTTGATCCCTATTACCGTATGTATGTATGTAGGGGATTAAAGGGTACTATAATACAATTCATTCTCAGCACACACAAAAGTGTCTGCCCAAAGTCCATTTAAAATATTTTTAAGGTTTAAATGATTTTTTGGTTCAATTTCTATTTCTGCATAGCCACAGAAGTTTCTACCAATAAAGAGACTACTTTAGTGTTTTATATGATTATTTTTAAAAAGTCTTACTTAAACCTATATCAACATTAGTTCATGGAGTCCCATTTTCTCCTCTCTTTATCACAAGTTTTATATTTTTAAAAGACCCTTCACGCAGGGAAAAAGTACTGAGCACCAGTCTTTTGTGATTAGGCTCAAATCTATGGAACTTGTAAGCAGGGCAAGCCACTAATTGTCTTTGAGCAACGTGCATACAGTACAAGGAACAGATGCAAAGCTGCGTGGTACATTCTCGTAATCAACAGTGATTACCGGGAATGGTCAAAACTGGATGTCAAACACAATCTTGTCTTCATAGAGGGCAATCACCAGCATGATGGCAAATCCAAACAGCAATCCTAAATTCTGAAGAATGAACTGCCCCACTGGACAAAAGCCGTGTTCTTCATTGTCACCATCACCATGCAACATTTCTGGAAGCTGAAACAAAATAATTATTTAATTGAATACGATGCTACCCATAAGATATTTTAGTCAAATACTAAAGAAATTTTATGCTTTGCTATTTATTAAGTAAATACTAACTCTATTCCCTCCTCACCATCCCCTCCAACAAACACTCGAAATTCATGCATTAGTCATTTTACAGTTACTATCCACTGATCCTACTAATTCTAACATTTTAGTTTAGGCTTAAATAGAAGACAACTTACTATTACCAATAAAACTCTCAGAAAAGATCACCACAATTCCCACATTTACTAATATATCTTAAAAACTCACTGAGAAAGGAAGATTCTTTGGGGAAATAAACCTAGTTCAAAATTGTATCACTTCTTTACCCTTTTCCATTTGAAATTCTCCTTTCTCACTGTGCGTGACAGCAAAGAGATATTTGAAGATAACTCCAATTGGCATCTCTATATCTTTAAGCCAGTATTTTCTTTCCAATAATAGACACAGAAAATAACCTATCAAAGCTATTCAGTGTAACCAGGGCCAAGTCATGCATGCTGCCCTCATGGTGTACTCTGTTCTCTTAATATTGATAAAATTTTCTTTTGGAGGTGGCTTTTCTTTCTGATCTTTCATGTTTCCTGTGTTCTTTCGTTGATTCTTTCTCAT